AAAACCTCTGGGATGCAAAGGAGTGGCCATGAAATCCTACGGCTTTGATGAGGCATGCTTGGCAGAGTTGGCCAGCTTTGGTTCTAGCCTACTTTTTGCTCACCGGATCTTAATCTGGTTTATTCGCATCACTTATTAGCTCATACTGCTTTTTATTCTATTGTTTTGAATTTCAATGAATATTATTAGAAAAAAGGTTGAGTAACCTGATAGTGTATTTTTAGCCAGCTCTTTGCTAGATTTGTTAGGTTTATAATTAATTAGGATGACCCTGAATTGCTGACATTTAAGTTCACCTTCCTAAAATTCGAATTACTCTCCCATATATGATTTTTTTATTCCTTGCCTTCTTGGATTCTACAGAAAAAGACAAAGGAACTAGACGAGGCTGATAATTTGAAGCTATTGCTTCATAATCTTGACCTTTCATACCGCCTACATTGGGTTGGTGGAAAGACTATTAAACTTACAAGGCATGGCCAGGAGCTGGGTACATTTCAATTGTGATTCTGGCTTATCATTGTTCCATGGTTGTCTATGGAGTTGCTTTGAAGTCTTGAAAGACAGCTGGACGCCGTGACTAATTTATGATCCTAATGGCTGAAGAGTTCGACCAGAAATGTCATGTTGCACTGTATTCATGCATGTAAGAACCCTGCTCTTTTCTTGATTGTCAAAGCGTTTTCTTGTTGACGAAACAGTGCATTAGGGGGATTCCTTTTGTACTAGCTACTGTAACTAAAAACTGAATAAAGTACAGCTTTAATGCTACAGGATTATTGTTTACATGGAATGCTCAGGATAGGGCTATTCTGTCACACCATTGGGTTCCCAAGTGCAGTAATGCAGTATGCTTCTTGAATGGCTGTGATTAGCATGATATCATGAATTCATGATATACTTTGGACTTTTTTTCCTACCATCTTAAGGTTCAGTTTCAACTTCTTTCCAAGTTTAAACATGTTACCTCAGTAGACATATTAAATTTCTCCTTCCCTATCTGCATGCTTTTGATGGTTTTCTTTGCTTTTGCGCAGTTTGCATGGTGGGAAACAGCAGAAGCTTCCATTACTTAATCATCAACTTAGTTCTGAAGATTTGTACATTTGGTTAAGGATTCATATGTGTGCACGTGCGTTCACAAAATGACGCGCGCGCGTGCAAAGGATAGTTTTAGGTTGTAATTATGAGACTAAGGCAGCAAGCAGTCGCTCCGCATTTAGCATCCGGGTGCTTAAGTTCTGATGTACTTAGACTATCTCCAACGAGCAGACCGTAAATCGGAGACGAAAATAGCTGAATCGGTAGCTGTGCGGCTGAAAGGGTACCTGTGAAACTTGCCCGTCTCCAACGGTAGACCCAAAAATCAAATCGAATCGAATCTCCAATAGAATCTTCAATCGAATCAAATCGAAACTTGACGCGGTGAGGTCGCCCGCGCCGCTGCGGCTGCCGCCGCCGTCCCGCGCCGCCGCGGCGAGGTCGCCCGCGCCGCCGCAGCGTCGTCCCGCGTCGCCGCGGCGAGCTCGCCCGCGCCGTCCTGCGCCGCAGCGGCGCCGTCCCGCGTCGCCGCGGCCGCCGCGGCTCGCCCGTGTCGTCCCGCGCCGTCCCGGCCGCCTCCCGCGCCGCCGCAGCCGTCCCGCGTCGCCGCAACGACCTCGCCCGCGCCGTCCCGCGCCGCCGCAGCCGCTTGCACGCGCCGTCTTTTGTTCGGGAAGAGATGAAGAAGAAAACGGTTCGAGTGGATAGAAGATGGGGTGGCTAAGCGAACTGCCTCAGTTTTACAGCAGGAGGGGCGCGGTTGCTAAAATCGGGGTGGTGCTTGGGTAGCCCGTTGGAGATATGATTTCCTGGTTTGAGGACCCATTTTCTGCTTTATGTTGAAAATAGGGTCTCCGTTGGAGACAGTCTTATGTGCCCCTTTACCATTTACGAACTTGGTCCTCAGAGTTGTGTGTATACTATGATGTAAAGAGAACTTGTCTGATAGGGAATTTTTGCCTTGTGAACTGATAGTACAAGATTGGAAATGGGGCATACCATGGACGTTTTCTTACTGGCTTCATACATTCTAAACAAGGCAACATATCTTATGAGAATCAGTTTTGTGTGAGAACTATAAGAACTTTAATCTGAGCCATATGATCTTGATCCAAGGAGAGCGCATAGGGAGAGGTGGGAGGGGGAATTTGCAAAAGTATGATTAAATGAGCAGTGAAATTTGCAAAAGTATGATTAAATGGGCAGTGATTTTGCAAATCCCCCCTCCCATCTGAATTCATACGTCCAATTAGATCAAGATCATGTGACTCAGATTAAAATTCTCATAGTTATTACATTCTCATAGGATACGTTGCCTCTAAACAAGTCTCTTCAAGCCTCGTGCTCACCTGTCTCATGAAAGCTACTTTACAAATGCTTCTCTTGCAAAACACCCTTCTAAAAGTCGATGGAGCCACCTATATTCTTTTTTTTTTCCGCGGGGACCTATATTCTATTTGGAAGACCAGTTACAGGTGGAATCATGCAAAAATAGAAAAGATTAGCAGATCAGATCAGACCAGGAAGAGGAGATCGACCAGCACGGGGCCTCCTCCTCGGCTGCGTTTTGAAAGGGTAAAGAAATGAAAAAGAAAAGAGAAATACGTATCCATATTTGGAAGGACAAATTCGAAAACAGGGAAAATAATTTGTGATCCCTGTTTCCAGCTCACCACCCCTTCCCAGCTCCTTCCTCCATTGATTACGGAGCCAAGCGGCAGCCTGTTGATTCCCCGCAATGAAAACACGATCTTTTCCGTCTCCGATGCGGAGTGAGCCTCCGCTCCGCCGCCTCTCCCCGCCGCGCGGCGCAACCGCAGCGAATCGCTACTTATACTCGCGTCTGCGGCAGCCTTCCCCGACCGCATCTTCTTGCTGAGAATCAGGGAGAGCCTCTCAGGGCGAAGAAGAAGCAGAGCAGCAGGAAACCAAGAAGCAGAGCACCGCGCGAGCAACGACGACGATGGTGAGGCCGCCGAGCAAGGGGCGGCAGCGCATCGAGATCAAGCCCATCGCCGACAAGGCCGCCAGGGATGTCACCTGCTCCAAGCGCAAGGGCGGGCTGCACAAGAAGGCCAGCGAGCTCGCCCTGCTCTGCGGCGCCCACGTCGCGGTCATCATCTTCTCGAACCGCGGAAAGGTGTTCCCTTTCGGCAGCCCCTCCGTCGACGCCGTCCTCCGCGGCGTCGCCCCGCTCCCTCCCGGCGAGGAGGCCGCGCCGTACCCGGACGACGACGCCTTTGAACTGGCCGCCGTGGAGGCGACGCTGCCGCAGACGGAGGAGACCAAGGCGCTCGTGGAGGCGGAGAAGGCGCGGCTGGTCGTCGTCGGGGAGAAGGTGCTGCGGGCCGTGCCGCCGGGCAAGAATTTATGGTGGGAGGCCGACGTCGAGCAGCTCGGGGAGGCGGAGCTGCCCGAGTTCACCAAGGCGCTTCACAGGTTCAGGGACAACGTGCAGCGCCGCGCCAACAAGCTGCGCTCCGGTGCTCCTCCAACGCCGCTGCTCCTTCAGTAGTCGTGCCAACTCCACCGGCGTTCATTTTTACTTATAGCAATATACTACTTGCTTACTTATTAGGTCAGTGTTATTGGCCTCTCAAAAGGGGAGGGAAAATAGGTTCTTGCGATCGGTGTTGGTACTAGTTCGCCAAGGATGTGTTAGTGTGCTCCGATCACAAGAATTAGGCAGTGGCATGTAACCCTGTTCTTCTCAATATGCAAGCAAAGCAATTGGAGGACATTGTTTTGTTGAAAATTTTGGAAGAATCAGTTTTTTCTTCCGTCCTTGTCCTTGATAATTCATTTTTTTTAAGAAGAGGTCTTGATCCAGTGAATTACTTTTTTCCATTTGTTTTCCTTTGTTCTCGTTTGGTAAAGCTAGTAAGTCATCTTCCACTCAATTTCAAATAATGGTGCATCTTAACACTGTACGGTTGTTTCCTTTGCTCCAAAAGGGGAGGGAAAAAAAGGATGAATCAAGAGAACTCCAGGTTACACGCTGCTGTTTCGATTACACGGTTTTCACTCTCTACACAAATTTTCTAGCAGGGAAAACACAGAACAGAGCATCTCTTTACTCTAGTCAATGTTTTTCTTATGTAAAACTAAATGATAAAACATCCTCTAGACTCCAAATACATACCATGGAGGCTCTTCCTCTTGCTTGCTCGATCTATACGCGTCTATTCTCATATATGTTTGCTCTTTATTCCGTGGTTGTTTGTGCAAAATTTTCTTCTGCGATGTTCGATTTTTGGTTTCAATGGTCTTCTTGTTTCCTCTATTATATATGTCAATGGTGTTCAATGGGTTCTGCTTTGGTCTAAGCAACCACAAGTTCCTTTATTATGTCAATTTTCCTTCCCACTTTGGCAGTTACTTGTGGCACACCACTCATACAGCCCAACAAACACCTTCGCAATTACTTTCAGCCCACCATACCAAACGTGGCCATCCTTCATCGTCGGGTCCTGGACCAAGTGGGCATCCTCTTTTACCAAACGCGCCCTACATAACTAGGATCACTACTTGTGCTCAAAAAAAAAAAAAAAACTAGGATCACTACTTCAGCTTGTGATGAACCGTCAAGTCCCTTCTATTGATTTTGGTGAAAATGCTGGTGATATTTTTCTTGTGTAAATTTGGTTCCCAACTTTTTTTGTAGTTCAGCATGCTTGAACATTATTTCTAATAGAAATCATGCTAACAATTTTGAACAAAAAAGAGTACATGTGAAACAATTACAGGTGGAAAAGGATAGACAAATTGAAAAAGAATGGCCTCATTGAACAATTCAGAAAAACAGGACCAAAATGTTTTTCATATGTCGTACATATGAAAAGTAATTATCATCGGATCTCTCGTCACGAGGAAATGCTGTCAGTCACAAGGTCCGTAACAATGATACAACTCTGGCGCTAAATGCTCTGGTTTAGAACCAAAAAAAAAAAAGCAAAAGGGCTTGTATAGCCTAGTGGTTACAAGAGACTCAGTAGCACCTCAGGTCCTGGGTTCGACTCGCCGTGTGAGCAAATTTTCTAGGATTTAACGACGCTTGTGCTTTCAGCGGTAGGCGGCGCGGCTGTCGACAGCAAGGTGTCAGTGGTGACTTTGTCAATCTCGAGGATTTGCCGGCTCGGTCTTCGAAGATGCTCATAGGGGTAGGGATTGCGTATGTGCGTTCATAGGGGTGAGTTGTGTGCGTTGTGAGTGTCTCAGTTGTACTGTGTAATCACAAAAAAAAATCCAAAAGAAGGAAGGGGAAGTCATCAGCCTCTTCACTACAATAATTTTCCATTTGGAGTTTCATATTTTTTTCCTAATTTTGAGAACTGCTTTTTCAAGTGAAAACAGTGTTAAGGAAGCCCTCTCCTGTTAGTTTTGATAAAGGCTCATGTATTAACCTCACTTTAAGGTGAAGACAAAGGTGTGGGCACCAAACTCTTTGAAGAGTTCTTAGGCATAGGCGTATGGCAATTATCATGTCTTGCCGTAGATGCAAGTAAATCTACTGGTCAACCGGTATTGTCAAACACCTTTTTTTCCCTTTACACCTCAATTTTGTGCAACGCAGAGAACACGTGGAATGTGGCTGCTCCCCCCCCCCCCCCCCCCCCCCCCACAACCCCACCCCAACCCCCATAGACCATATCAGATCCACAAATATTAAATGTATCACATCTATTTTCTCTTCCATTCCCCTTCTCTCTATCCCCTTCCATTTGAAGCATTCCCTTCTCCAAAATTCCAATAGCTGCGAATCTTTTGATGAATCCTTCCGTACGTAGCGATGATTTGCACTGATAATTCATACTAGACACACGGCTTGATGCTTGCGAGGTTAGTGCCATATACTTTTGGATTTTGGTTTTTAGGGTTTCTTGGATTTATATTTTAGATCTATTGAGGCTGTGGCATCCCCCACCCCCCGAGATAGATTATTTTCCTCGGCGGCGCGCACAATCGAGATTGGGCTGTGGAACTAGTTATGGATGATGGTGAGAGTGCGCATATCGATGGCGACAACAAGGGCCAACACATGGTGGTGCCGGTCGCTGTTGTAGGGATTGTAGTACGTATAGATTGTTTGTGATATGATGGATGGTTTGAACGGCTTGGTAAGGAATGATATGCTGGCCCACGGCAGGAGCGAGCAGGATATGATGGGCATAGATCTAGAGGAGAGGGATAGCACTCTTGCAAAGAGGAAGGCAAGGAGTGAGCAGAGTGAGGGGATTAGGAAGAGGGAGGTTGTGGCGATGGCGTGAGTGTAAGGAAGGGAAGGAAAATGAGGAAAGGGAAGATTGGTTTGTGCAGCTATAGTGAATGGTGTCATTGGATATGCTAGTGAAGAGCGCATACGGGATAATGGTAGTAGGGTGATGATGTTGTGGGGCGGTGATCAACTAAACCACGGCTACCATGTGGCACTTCACTGCACGTGATGCAGCGACATGGTCTATTCATGTTATCAGAAAGGAGGGCGAACGATGAAGCATCCATATCGTTCCACAGATGGGCGAGTGGATTTTTGTTGTTGTTCTCTATATCATTTTCATTGCTCGATAGATTATTTCATAGGCCAACAGTTTGTTTTTCTATCTTTCATAGCCCCTTTGTGCTTTAATAGAGTGCATAGAAAATATATCAATGCTTCAAAGTATTCTGATACTTCTTGTTTGTTATATTCAACGAAAACATATCACAATGATGTAATACATGCTCTGTATGTACTTATGAGACTTTATAACACACAACCCATTAGTTAAACTATATTCATTTCATTTTGTATTCTGTCATTTTCTGTTCAAGAATTTAGGTCTTGGGTATGCAAAAATTATTTATGTATTGGCCCATGTTGAACCTATTTAAATTCTTCTTCCATGAGAATGCAAATAGAATATGGAAAATTATAAGGAGGTTCTTATTTTTTTTTACAAATTACTGAGCAGGAGGACTATCTGAGGAAGAAGAACATGATGCCTGCTTCAGAAAACGAAAAGCTTGTTCAGAGCCAATCTACTCACGAGGAGGCATCATCTGGTAATAAAATACCTATTGTACATAGCATAACACTATTTAACTTTTGAGAAAGATTCTTCTAAATATTGTTTTGGTGACACTGATTTTTACATGTCTATTATTTGGCATGTTCATTCTTTTCTCTGAATGAACACGTGAAGTATGTCTAATGTGTATTGCAGGCCAGCAACATTTTTCTGGTCAAGGTTCTTCTAATTCTATGAAGTCTCCCACCACTTATAGAATCAGTGACCTTCCTGACGGTCTACTCCAGGATATATTATCCTTCTTGCCAGCACCGGAGGTTGTCCGCACAAGCATTCTTTCCCCTCAATGGCGTGATGTTTGGAAATCCGTGCCGTGCCTCCATGCCCAAACTACGGATGAATTTGATGAGGATGGTGACAAGTTTGTTAACTTTGTCTCTAACCTGTTGGAGAGCCGAGCTGACAAAGCTCCACTCAAAGTGTTCAGCTTTCACTCTCCGCGATCTGAAGAAGCAAACTCTTGGATCCGTTATGCAATAGATCACAACGTTGAGTTACTTCAGTTTTCTGATGAGTTTTGGGATCAAATCTATGAGGAACCTCCTTTCGTACTAGATACAGGAATTGTGAACTTCAGTTCAAGCCACCTGAAAATATTAGTTCTTACAAAGGTTACATTAGCTGCAATACACTTCAGCCAGCTCAAAGATCACTGCCCAAAGCTCCAAATTCTGAAGCTGGACGAAGACAGCCACCTCGAAACTTTTGAGATTTCATCAAGGTCTTTGACGAGTTTGTGCATTGAAGACTGTACTTGTCCTGGAGATATGTTGATATGTGCTCCGGAGTTAACATCTTTGAGCATTATAAATTCTGGGAACGAAGTTGTCGCACTGGAGAAACTGCCATCATTGGCAGTAGCATCGGTTGTTCTGTATTTCAACATTGACTCTCCAGACGAAACAAATTGGGAAATAATTGAGAATTATCAATACAGCATACTTCAAGGCCTTTCTCATGCTAAGAGCATAGAGCTTAATGTCCCTATAATAAGAGAGGTATGGATGCTTCAATACCGCCTGGGCTAGCTTGTGGCGTATATTCAATTCTTTTTTGTCAGATATTTACTATATGTTGTGGGTATGCATGCATGCGTTGGTCATTAAAATAAGAGTAAATTGCGCTGGTGGTACAACAACTTGTGAGGTGGGTACGTTTTAGTCACAGAACTTGAAAATTGCTCAATTGGATCACACAACTTGTTAGAAGGGTGCAATTAAAGTCATAAAATAAAGATATAGTATAGGATAAGTTCGTATGGAGCAAAATAAAATCAAGATTCAATATGAATTCAATGATATGTTTTCACAATATGCAAAAATCACTTTGTTTTCTTCCTACACTTGTAAATTTTGTTGAATTCATTTTTATCAGTGCAACTACTCAAACAAAGTCAAAATTTTCATTACCACTACAATTAGCTCATAAGTCATACCATATATGTCAATGTGACATCTTTTTGTCTACGTTATACTTATTTTTTGCTCTTATATCATCAAGATATGCTGTTGTGGTATGTTTTATGACTTCATTTGCATCATCATAACAAATTGTGTGATCCAATTGAGCACTTTTCAAGTTTTGTGACTAAATCGCACCCACCTCACAAGTTGTGGTACTACCAATGCAATTCACTCTTAAAATAAACATTCCTTTGATAATGTTAATGAAGCTTCAATAAAATTATCTTTTGCCAAATGAAATTTGGAGTATATTTTGAACAACAGAATTGGATTATACGGACAGAAATGAGCAATGGATTCTATAAATTTTCAGTGCAATTGGAAACTATATAATACATTCCACTCTGTAATGGTTTCCCTTTTCTTTTTTACGAGTGATTGCAGATTCGGGCATTTGAGAATGAATTACAGAGGGGACAACTGTTCAGTAACTTGACCAGCCTAATCCTTGGTGAATGGTGCATGGCTGACTTGTACCCTATAGCATGGTTCCTCCAACAAGCGCCCCTGCTAGAGAACCTGCACGTCAGTTTAAGACATGTAAGCAGTCAAGAGTACTGAATTTTTTTTCCCAAAAAGAGAGTACTGAAAATTCTAGAAGATATTGTTCCATCCGAAATATAATGATTTCATTTCTTTCTATCAAGAAATAGTGCATTGATGCTTGCCATTATTGTGACCTCAGGTCAGGCCCTGGTACCGAATGGAGTATGAACCAACAGTTTTCGCCCAGGAAACATTGTTCCGAGCACCCTGCCTCAACAATGTCACAATCCTCTGCCTCACACCTGACCCGATGCTCCAAGAGCTGATCAATCTGCTTCGCTCAGCTGCAAAATCATCCCTGGTGATAAAGATCCAAAGTGATTATTTTGGAGAACCGAAACTGGCTGATTGAAGCATTTGATTTATTTGTGGGTAGATGTTTTCTGTGCACTATGTCATTGAGGGAATGTATGTTCTTCCCCAATGGAGTTATTCAAATCGTTATTTGTTACTCCTACTTTGTTATTGATGGAATCTGTGTACTTCCTAGATGGACATGTTGAAATCATATTTTGTTACTTTGTTGTCGATTGAATCTATGCTAACATGTTCCATCACCAAAATCATCTCGATGGCTAAAGCATGAGTCATAGATCTCAGGATTGCTTTCTGCTTGTTATCTCAAGACTGGTTTTCATGATAATCTAAATAATTCTTCTTATTTTCATCAATAACGGCGTCTTCTAGCTATTCCCACATTAGTTTATTTCAGGAATATATGTCAAGTTTCTCAGCAACGAGGCCATGTCAAGATCCAGTTTAATCATGGCACCTCACATAATTATTTCTTTTTGTTAATTATGAGTTTTTTTTATGAAGCTCTCTCTCACTTGTTGCATGTACAAGAACCGCGATGATCTTTAGGTAAGCATTACGAGAAATGGATCGAGATGTAGTTGAATATCCGTTGATGAATTGTTGTGCGTATCTTTGACCTTGCTATACGTAAATCCT